CCTGCTTATCATCCTCTACCCTGTCTGGTCCTACACTAACATGCTATGGTGCCAATTTCTGTACACCTTTCTCCCTTCTTTTGTTTTTACTGCTTTTCTGTCCTAGTACAAGAGCCTGTAGAGTGTAGTGCTTTGATTAAATTTCACTGACATTTTTTAATTTTCAAAGATGCAGGCAAGATTTCCAGATCAGAGAACAGCTAAAATACAGTTTATCAGAATATCGGTAGATTCTGACAAATAGGTCACCGAATGCCCACCGCAGTCTTTTACTAAATGTCAACTTCTAAGCACTTGCTGAGAACCATCACCATGAGCCACGATGTTCATGCCACTGTAACCAGTGTCAAGTCTGCAGGCCAGACAGAGAAAAAAGCTGCTAATGGTCTACAAATGATACAACTAGAGAAGTGTTCTTGGAGTGCATGGTCATCCTAAGTCCTCTCCTGAAATGCTTGCATTTCACATGTGCCAGCCAGACTGCATGCAATTTGAAGGTGGAAAGCTTCTGCCTTTTAGGACCTGGCATATTGAAGAAGTTACCAGAAATGATGAAATAGCAGTGTTTCATATGGAAAATGTTCTAATTTATGGTAGATTCTCATATATGTTTACATTGCAGAACATTGCAGAAGCAAGCAAAAATTACGGTGTTTTTCAAAATTGTAGAAAGATTATTAACTGGTTTTATGTAAAGAAGGGGAAGGAAGAGGTGAGTACACCATAAAATGTAGTTAATTTCAAAAATCAATGCAATTTGTTTTCAATTATCAGGAGTGAATTAATATTATCATTGTTTATGTATATATAGACAGTGATTAATCTTCTAGCCACATAATTGCATCACAAACAAAGTTTTAGAGTTCCCTTCGATATTTTGTGTTTTAGCTAAGAACAGAAATGAGGACTGGATTAGGTAACCTGTATACACATAGCACTGTTAACGAGCCTACTCATGCCAGAGATTTGCTGCTAAGAATAATCCTTGCTGACCATTAGGTAAAATTTGTGAAAATATCTCTTCACTAAAGCAAGTCAGCCTGCATAGGTTAGCATACAGGATAGATCATGCTGTTCAGCACTTCTGTAAACTTCAGAAGTTTGGACAAAAGCTTCCAGTGACCTTCTTTGTCTTGGTTAAACGCAGGCAGTCTCTTTGCACTGAGTTGAACAGCTGAAGGGTGGCAGCTCAGTCATTTTGCTCAAGGCCTTACAGGACATATTGTGTAATGTATCACACCAAAAAAGAAGTGGTCTCTCTATTGCATAAATCTTGCCCTACTGATAGGCAAGAATCAAGGTCAGCAGAAAAGATGTATTATCACTGCCCTTTTGATGACGCGGAACTGGGGGCTGAAAACCATGCTGGTTAGCCGAAGTCACACAGCACTGAGCCACATCTTTCTGATTCCCTGGCCAGGACCTGAACTAGAAGGAGGGAAGGAGGGCATTCTCTCTCATTTCCAGGATTGCAATTACAGGGTCTTGGTAATTTGGCATGTCTAGCTGGGAACGGGCTGGGTAGCAGTTGGCAGGTGGTGAGCAATTGCATTGTGCACTGCCTATTTATACTCTCTATTATTGTTATTGTTTTATTTTATTACCATTATTAAACTGTTTTTATCTCAACCTACGTGTCTGCTTTTACCCCTCCAATTCCCTTGCCCATTCCCAGGCAGGGGAGAGTGGGCGAGTGGTTTCATGGTATTTGGCTGCTGACCAGGCTCAAACCATGACAGTTGGTAATTACAGGCTTTGGCTTATCCAGAAGAACTGTTTTCAACACCTGAAGTAAATTTATACAATTCCTATGCTGTTTGTCAGACATGCTTGCAGAATTGATCTGCAATGCAACCAGTGTCATCTCTTTTACCCACCTACTAATGATACCATCCTCACAGTGCCATATATTAGATTTTCTAATGACATTGTTAGCCTTAGGTAAACATCAAGGTTTACCTTCCAAGAAAAGACATTGTTTATAGAAAGACACAGATGTTCACAGAGCTCTGTGGCTGTGTGTTGTGTTGAGCAGTGCTGAGAGCTTATGTTGCTTTATATTTGCTTAATTGTTAGCTCCCATGAAATCTCATGTTTCCTTATTTCCTACTAGTTTTCTTTCTTTTAAGCAGACTTTCCTCCACCCTATACTTTCTTCTTACCAGCACTGAGGCATATGTAGACATGACAAGGCAGAACAATGATCTAAACATTTAGACTAGCATTTTCTACATTAAATGCAATTTGATCTTAGAATATATTTCCCTTCTGTGTTTTGGATTTCTGTATCCTAATCTCTGTTGTTTTTAACTAAGGGTGTTAATTTACAGAATAACAGAATTGCTGCCGCTAGTGGGCACCTCTGGAGATCATCTAGCTGACCTACCAAAGCAGAGTCTCTTGGAGCAGGTTGCCATGCTTGGAGCAGGACCATGACCAGTCAGGTTTTGAGTATCTCGAGGGATGAAGTTTCCAAAACCTCTCTGAGAAACCTGCTCGACTACTTGACCACCCTCACAGTAAAAAGTGGAGATATTTTAAACATACAAATAGAATTTACTGTGATTCAATTTATGTTCATTGCCTCTTATCCACTCGCTGGATACTCCTGAGAAGTGTCTGCTTCTGTCTTCCTTACTCTCATCTGGTTTATATGTGCATGTGTATGTGTATATCCTTGCCACACACCTTGTCTTCTCCTCTCCAAACTGAACAACTGCAGCTCTCACAGCCTCTCCTGACAGACAAGTTAGCTAAGTCATTGCACAAGATCACATACCATTCTGAAATTATATTAATCCAAAGTGTATTACTTTATTTTTTACATGTTATAAGCAGTGTGAAGAGATATCAGAATAAGACACAGTCAAGTTGAAGAATGATGGGATAACATACCTGGATATTAATTCAGATTATTTTGGATTAGGACTCCTTTGTTTAAATTAAACTGGTGCCATTTCTGTAGTTTAAATTGGCCTCAATTTCACTGGAAAATTGTTGTCTGTATTTTGTTTTCTCTCATCTCATTTTTGTCTACTACAGCCCAGTGTTTGACATTTGTATGATTGTAATCCTTTATTTATGGCTTCATTGTGACTCTGCCAGAGACCTAGAGGTGGTGGGTTTTGTTTCTGTGTTCTTCACATGCATCTTGCATAGCTGTGATAACAGGAAAACACTGTGATTAGGATTCACTTTTATTTCACTTTATAAAGATGAATATTACAAGCCAGCTTTTTAAGAATTTAAAAATTAAGCATTTTTCTCATTTTCTCTATGCATTATCATTAAACCAAATTTAGGGACATACACGCACTTCAGTTTGAAGCTGCTGAATAAATTTGACCTACTTTTGTTTTAATTTGGTTATTCCAAAGCTTGCATTCTTGACTGTTAGGATTTAAACAATCCACATTACATTGATTGCCTCTCCATAGCTGAGAGAGCTTATACCTCTAATGATTCTTATGCTATGAGTTTTTTCCCTATTTTATACCTAGGCCTGGTGTGTGACAGTGTTCCCTGGGGTTTTGAGGTTACTTGAAGTCAGACATTTGCAACCTCACAAACCCAAGACTGGTACAAAATAAACACAGCCAGCCACCAGCCCAGTTCTTGTCTCTGCCTTATAGAGAAGTTACTACTTGCTCAACTGAGGGAAGACTAATAACAGGCCCTTGGCATCATAGTTACCTCTTGGCCATGGAAGTCTGAGACCCAGTAAAAGCTACCAAACATTGTTTTTAGTAACAGAGAAAAGCCCTCAGCAGAAGCATTCACGGTTTATGATTCTTCATAACAGACTGCATCAGCAGCTCCTACTCGGTAGTCCTGGTGACAGAGCATGCATTACCAGTGCATTTCCAGCTCCTTGTGCATGCAGGAAGCCATCAGGAGCAGGAACATCACTCTTCTTAATAGTTGGTTTGTAGGGAGTTGGAGGCAGTTGTAGTATGTGGCACACCATAACACTGATCCCCCAGAGCTTCAAGGGAATAACTTCGAAGCACACTTTTGGCATCAGGTGGCCAGAGGAGAGAGAGAAGCACAGCAGCAATGATACTTTCTGCAGCTGGCATTGCGAGGCAAACAGATAAAAGGAAAGGAAAATTGGATAGCTTCCACAATACAAGCTTAAAAAGGCAAAACCAAAATCCGCTGTTACCAGCACTCCCATGTTTTTTTAAATAAAGCTCACATTGCAGGATTGCTCTTGAAACCTTACACTGTGGCTAATGACCCAAAGCAACAGCTTAAGTACTTGAGAAACCATTTATTTCTTCTGCCTGGTGCTCCAAATTATTTCATAGTCCATGTTGCACTGAGAGACAGAGGAGCTGTGTGTGTGGAAGGGAGAAATCATGTGCCACATGCTAATTCATTATATTAGCAGTGGACCAGAACAAGACTTCTAGATGGTATAAGCAAGTGTAGTTGATTTAGTTGCTTCCTTTCCTAAATCTTGACTGGTAAACTTCCTGAAAGTGGATCATTAGCAAGTTTCTGGAAAGCTAGGCATTTTTGAAGCATGTCAGACTGCACATTAAGTAATCTGGAAACACTGGACATGTTTATGAGTGTCTCAAAAGTTTTATCAAAAAATTAACAAAACTTTTTTAGTGAAATCTGTCTTTTGTTTGGAGATGGTGGGGGGTATTCCTTAACCACGGTAATCAGTGGCTTAACAAAACTCTAATGGATGACGCAGTCCAAAGTTTAGCTGCTGTAGTAAGTATGAGTAAAAAAAGTCCTAATCACTTCCCAACAGCTCTAACTGACAATCTCTTGTTAATATTGGTGTCCTCACTAAATTCCCTGTGAAGGTCATGTATGAGCTTGGAAAAGTTGCTGGGTTGTTTCTGCAAAATACAAAGAATTTAGACAAACTTCCCTAAAGTATGAGGACTACTAAGGTGCTACCATTTTTAGGGTTTCTAAAGTTAGTAGAAATAATTGTATGTTAGTAATAATATTTTTATTTTTATATAAAAGATGCTATCTTTTTTTCTGTACTATTATTTTGAACATGTTTATTATGCTGGTAAGCTATGACAAAGGACCATTGCTGGCAGTAACTTTATGCTTCTTTACATTTCTTTACCTCACAAACAACTGAAATATGATCTTTTATGTGATTCACAAGAGTTTCCTGCTATTTGTCCAACAGAAAACGTGTGAAACATTGTGTATCTGGTGGGAATCTCTCCTTCCCTCACACCCCCAAATAATGACTGCTCCGTATCTGTGTATGTGAACTTTAAGAAATACCACCAGTTTTGGTGTAGAAACGAATTAATGAAGTGGAAGCTGGCATCTTTCTTCCATGCTTTGTTACTAGCTTTTTTTCTTCCCCTAAAAAAAAAAAAAAAAAAAAAAAAAAAAAAAAAAGAACATACATTTATTACAGACACTAACAAGACATAACAGAGTAAGACAGTGAGAAGCATTGACACATCTTGAGAACACCTTCCCCCCACCCCTCCCTTCTTCCTGGGCTCAACTCTGTTCCCGATATCTCTACCTCCTCCCCCAATGGCGCAGGGGCAGGGAATGGGGGGTGCAGTCAGTGCTGCCACTTCCTTCATGTTCGGTGAGGGAAGTGTCCAAAACTTGTTCCCCCCTGCCCCATCGTGGTCCCCCTCTCACAGGAGACAGTCCTCCACAAACTTTCTCCGACTTGAATTCCTCCCATGGGCCGCAGCATTCCCCACACTGCTCCGTCATGGGTCACTAACTTCCTCCGACTGGATTTCCTCCCACGGCTGCAGCCCTTCCCGAGCTGCTCCGGTGTGGGACTCCCCCGCATGCTGCAATCCTCCCAGTGCTGAATTACAGCAGCAGGGCTGCCTTTTCCCATGAGACCCCGGCCTTCTTCGGGCACAGAACCTTGATGATCTGAGTAGGAGCCACAGGCCATAAATCAATGTCTGCTCCACCGTAGATCTCCATGGGTGGCGGGGGGGCCACCCTGCCGTCTCACCACAGGATACAGGGGGGTCTCTGCTCCGGCACACCTCCCCCCTCCTTTCTTCCTCCGTTCCTCCACTGACCTTGGTGTTCATGCAGCTGCAGCAACTCCTCCTCACAAGTCCGACTGCCCGTCACCACGTCCCTTCTTAAATACGTTATCGCAGAGGCGCAGCTGATGGGCTCAATTTCCCAAACAGAAGTGGAGCTGACGTGGAGCTGGGGGAGCTTCGAGAAGCTTCTCACAGGGGGCCGCCCCGATAGCCCCCTCCCCTGCCACCAAAAAACTCCACCACTCACTCAACCCAGGACACATATTCTGCTGCAAGACTTAGTTATGGTAGCTAGTGTCTCTGACAGGATATTCAGATGGCTGCTTTGTCAGGCTTTGCTTATACCCATGATCTCTTGCTTATGTCTTTCTGTGGATGATATTTGTTACCTTTGCCTGACCATTCTCTCCAGCTGAGTAAGTAGTGCAGTCTGCCTGAGATGAGGTGGAAGGAAACAACTGATAAGAGACACCAACTGCAGCTGTGGCTATTGCATAGGAGCATATTAAGAGGTTTATAAAAGCATCCTTAGACCACACAGAGGTGTGTCTCTCCAGGAAAAGTATTGGGATGGGAAATAGCTCTCTGTCCCTTTCCACTTGCATACCACCTGGAATTCACACACAAAATACATATGTCATGGTCACAGGCAGAAAGTTTTGTCCTCTTTTCCATCCTCTCCCCTTTGACTTGCTCTATCACACAACAGAGGTGTGCCCAGTGACACAGAGAAGCAATTTCACTTGGTCCACACAGCTGCAGGTGGGACAGTGGACAAGGTTGTTTGCAGAGCTCTGCACTACCATCTCCCACCCAGCCCCTCGGTGTCGCTTCTGGACCTGCTCAGGCTGACATTTCACTGGGGCACACAGAGGAGTGGGGAACCTGAGAAGCAAAGCCCTGTGCACTGCAGGCACTTCTACCAACAGCAGCACCTGCGCTGCCACATGTCCCAGCTTCAGCGTGACACTCGTGCTGGCACGCAGCTGCACCATCCTCTCAGCCAGAGCTGTTGTGAATATAAAATAAAACATCACCGGGGCCCTCTTTCCCCATTTCAGTTCCTGTAGTGTTATTTTAATTACTGGAACATGTTTTGCAATTAATTTGGTAATTTTATTTTCTAGCTTATTCAGTTTTTAAATTTTTTTGACTGCTCTTATGTTTCTTTACTAAATGTGGGAGTAAACTGCTGTGGTGTCAGTAAACTGTATAAAAAGCAGGCCTGAGACATAGATCCCCATCAGTTTTTACTCCATCCAAACAAAAAGGCTAAAAAAATACCTACAAGTTTTTGAATGCTTAAAGAGTTGACAGAAGGTAACCTACTGTGAAGAGGTTTCAGTGGAAGGACCTCACATCACTTTTTTGCTAAACAAGTACTCTCTTTATTTTCCCAAATGTATTACCATTACAAAAGAAAAGAAATTGTCATTCTCAGGTGTCAGCCCCGGGATTATTTGGTATCTTATTTGCATATAATGTTGTCCTGATGCATGCATACATGTGACTTTGTGCATCCATGTGTGTGACAGGTGTGGGGGAAGACTTTGTTATGCCTCTTGCAATGAAAGGAAGGAAGGCAGATTGTCACCAGCAGGAAACTAACTTTTCAACTAATGTTACATTCACAGACCTTCATGGATTTCAACTGAGTATCTGGCCCAGTGTGTTTATTATCTCTAGATAAATCTGACTGGTATGAGCCTGCTCTGTACGAATGAGAGTCAAACTAAGTGGTCCTCAAAAGCAAAAGGTCTATGATGGGCTTGCAACAGCTAAAAGCCTGTGACTAGATGGATGTGAAATTTGTTCTGGTATACTCTGATTTGATTTGTGAGATGTGCAGCATCAGCCCTGTGAGGGTTGCTCAGGGAGAAAATAACATCTGTTGTACGACTGGCTGGTAAAACCTTTTTGTAGTCCTAATCAAGCAGCAATTATTTTGTTGGAAGGTAAACAAGATAAACAGTCCATGAATTAACAAAAGCAATATCCTTTCTTATTTCACTGCTGGAGATGTACAGCAGGGCCTAAAATACATCTAATTCTTGCTTTTACAGCATCTCTAATGAAAACTGAACCAAAAGAGACTCTTCTGGATTCACTGGAGCTAATGTTGCTGTTCTTACCTCTGCAGATCTCAGACCTTTGTGCCCTGACAGGAGCTTCTCCCCTGCTGTTTTCCAGCTTGCCTCCACCTCTCTCAAACCTTGGGGTCAAAACAATCCCACTACTGACCCCAGAAATTTCCATGCAGTTTGTTTTGAAAACAATTCAGTTTCCACCAAGTTTGGCTTTTTCAAACCATGCCTCACTGAGAAGCATTTTCTATGACTGTTTGGCACTCAGTAGTTATGAACTGCTGTTGCGCCATTTCCCTTGTCTGACTGCAGCGCTCATGACCTGAATGAGGATGACAGGACTGCCTGACAGTCCTCACACAAGAACTGAGAATCACTGACAGAATGTTCAAATGACAGTCTTGAGGAACTGAAGTTAAAGCTGAGCTCTTCATTTGGCTACTTAAGCCCTCAGCACTTGTTGGTCTATCATCTATTTCAGTCCACTGAAAGTCTCTTTGGTGTCTTTCTTTATGATTCATATTTGTTGAGGATCAGATTGAACTGTTTTGCTTTGACTGCACAGACAAATGTTTTGGTGTGAGTCATCTGGCACTTTAACATATTTAAAATGCTCTGTAAGTGTGAAACTCCTTATCTGCTGCCAGTAGATCTCTTCTATATTTGCTTCTTTCACTTCATTTTGTTTTAAACTTTCTCCAGTTTCGACCTCTGCTTTGTATTCTTTACCAGCAACTTTCCTTTTCTTCCAGGTAATACGCAAGTGTTACACCTCCCACCATCTACAACTTTCCCCATTTCCTGTTCTGTTGTTTTTTTTTTTAACTACATTGGCCTATGAGAGTGTAGCATTTGTAGAAGTGTGTTTACAGGTGGGTCCTGGAGTGGATGCTGCAAGTGTTCTGTAACTTTGTTTTACAATGGAAGCTAAGCTAGGTGGAATAATGGTCCCTTCTTGCCTGAATATGTGTGAAGGAAACACAAGAGGGAACAAAAGCATTCAGAAACAAAGTGTTATATGTCAGCTAGCATGATTCCACTAAGTTTTCTGGAGCTAAACAATTTACTTAAGCTGAGGATAGGTCCTAGATATTTCAGTTTCTGAGATGAGAATAGAGCACTCTTAGAAACGTGTATATTTCAGTAGGTATTTTATGCCATTAAATAACACAGTGAAGCATCATCTTGATGAATGGACATTTCAGAGACAAGTCTGAAGCAAATTGTCCAGTAAAAAAAGTTGGTGGGTGGGACAGATTCTTCAAAGTGACAGTAGGGACAAGATTTTAATTTTTCATGCTGTTAATTGGTGTCCTATGCTCAGTTAATTTTTAGTGATCATATTCTAATTACTATATTTGATTATTTAGAAAATATTAGTGTATTTTGTCCATTAGAAAAACATTTAACAAGTATCTAGTCATTATCATTAGAATTCCTAGTTTACCTGCTTGTAATATCTAACAGACTAATCTTTTTTGAGATAAAAATTTCAAACTACAGAAAAAAAAGGTGCTTGGATATACATTGGAAATCTGTAAAAATTTGCTCTAGAATACATCTCTGATTTCTTAAAATAGATCAGGGTTTTCTGAGCCAAACTTTTTATCTGCTACAGAACCTGGGCACACAGAAGGTAATGGCAGTGGTCCATCTGGCTCAGTAACACATTGCCAAACCTGGGCACTATCAGCTGCACCAGAAGAGTATAAAAACCTGTCTCACTGGATACATGTGAGGCTGCATAAAAAATGTTCCATTTCACCAAATCTGATTTGATTATGGACAAAAGAACGACAGCTTGCTCACTTTGTCATGTTCAGAATGACCATGAGTGTTCTTACAGACCAAATAGATGAATGCCTTTGAGTGCTACAAAGCTCCTGACATCATTAATGTTTCTTGGCAATGAGTTTCACAAGTTAATTATGCACTAACAAAATGCATTTCCTTCCATTAGTCTGAAATGTATTGTCTGTCAGTTGCATAGGCTATTTACTTTCCTTTTCTTTTTTGCTGTTGCTGGTGGAGATGGTGGTGGTAAAACTTATTTTCCCTGACAGATGCCTGCCCATCCCACCAAAGACCCTTTAGGGTTTCTTCACCACCCTGAAGCTGGTAAGGAAGCAGGCACTATTAACCTGTTAAATCCTAGCTGTCTTTTATGTGTGTTGAGTCATTTCATATTTGTTTTATGCTTTAAACTTTGTATTTTACATGAAGAGTCTCTGTGTGTGGAGCTAAACGCAGCTGTACAAACTGACCCAGAAGAACGTGGTAATAAGCCCTCAACAGACAGGAAGATGAATACTGGAGGAAAACATTACAAAACAGTTTGTTGCTACTATATCTATTGAAATAAAATGCAAAGCTACCTTAAATGACATTAGGCAAACACTTAAAAATCTGAAGTAATCTTAAGATATTCTCCATGCAACGAACATGCAATTCTTGTTGTGCAAACAATATTCAAGCACACAGAACAACGCCATGGTAAGCCAGTTCCTCTTGACATTTCCTAGTAAATATGTGCCATCCATGACAACCACACTACCGTTGCTGTACTTACTCCAAATCCCTTCAAAGTGATTCTGTAATTCTGTACTTCATCTCTTTGAAGGGTTAGAGGGTCTAGAAGGAACAGCATGTGTTTTCTCCTGTATGCCTTTGGTGTACTATAGCCACTAAATAACTGTGATTTTATGTTGGCTATATTTTGCTTGCAAAGTATCTCTGAATGATTAAATTGACCCAGTAGAGGGGTCATAATATGTTATTAAGCCCTTTCACCCAATCTGTTTGCCACTGTTATTTTGGAGTTCTTTGGCTAGCAATAGTAACAATGCTGATGCCAGGTTTTACAGTCATTGTCTTTACCATGTGTAGAAAAATGCCAGGACAAATAAACCTGAATACTGGCAAGACCATCAGCATTACACTTCCTGGTGAACCAGAAGCTTCCTTTAGGTGCACATATTT